TGCAATTCGGACAAAAGCCTAGGACAGCGAGCTCCCCATTGGTGTACGTAAAACCTTAATTACCCGATCTAATATAATACAAAATGTTAAGACACGATAAACAGGAGATGGATCGTTAAAGACAATTTTTGACATGGACACTTGCAGGATTTCACGGTGACAATTAACGTGAAACACGTTTATTGTATTCAGGTTTCTATTAAACATGAATATTCTAGGCGTTGGCGTATGTGAACAATTTTCATACGTACAAAACACAACTGGCTATAAAGCAAAGACAAGGTTTATGTATGAAAGAAGATTTCAGGGTCATGGTCCACATTGAGTAATTATATCCATGCTCAGTGCATACATATTCAAGCAACTATCACGTACATAAACCTTATTTTAAAGTATCTGTATATATGATAAATCGCTCGCTTCTACATATTGTTATTACTTTTATATAATCATTATTAATTCATTTATTTATTATTAGTTAAAATAACGCAGGCGAGCACATAATGCTGCGTCGACTTGCCGCCTGCTTTCGAATTTATTTATTTTGTATATTTGTTTATTATAGTAAAAGCTTCTACATACATGTACGTACCAGTAGGTATACGTACAACTTCACTGTCATGACCATAAGTTATAAAAAGCAAAGCGCATTTGCAACATTTTAAGGTTCGATTTTAGGTTCATGATCAATACACTGAGCGATATCTCTGTCCACAGTTTAAGAACTGGGACGACGGAATCAACGTGTTTGTCTGTCAACCTTTTAAACGCCGAAGATGTGAAGAGGTAATTTCCGTCTCGGCGAAAGCTTTGACGCATTTCCTGCCAGATGACAGTGAGCACAATTGTAAGATTTCAATGGTTTCCGCGTTGGATGGATTAGTCAACAAAATGTTGCGTGCACTTGAGAAAAAAACCGACCCTAAGCTGGGTGTGCTTGAACAGAAATGAACTTTACACGCACTAGTCTAAGGCATTACAACAACAGAGGTGTGCAACTTGGCATAAACCTATTCGTTCTTTTCTGCCTCACAATAAAAGTAATTTGGTTATGTCATAAGAAGTCCTGTTTAAATGAATTTTCACAAGACAGTGTATTGGTTACCCCTTATTAAAAGCAATTTTGATGACAGCGATCATCGCGTCATCTTCAAAGAACGCACCTGGTCACCGGTACCCGCGAACCATGGTTCTGACATCAAGGCCGGAGATGGTTTCCAACCCAGGTCTACAGGATGACATATTATACCGGGATACAAGAAATGAAGTTTCCAGGGCTCTATGACGGTTATTTCATTATCAACCTCGACTAAATATAGCAAATTCCATTTACGTTATTTCGACGGATGACGCATGCAGCTGTTAATTACCAAGGATAATTAGACTCACTTTACAGTATATTATCGGAATGATAATTGGTATATGCAGATACATTACCCAAATTATTGAACAATTTCTTAAAACAACGCCACTTATAAAGAAAAGCACCATAATGATGTAGTTGGACGTCTCGCTAGTTAATTTGAGAAAATCTAGACACCACAAATCCCGTTGTCAAACGATAGTCGTTTCTAATGACAATTTCAGTTTGTTTTTTCTCTTTTTAATAAGTGCTATCATACTTTGAGTGCTAGTGTATCAGTATCATTCTCTGCCTAGGAGGGGTGGAGCCTCCCCGTCCTCTTCTGCTGGAAACAATTTGCGTGTACAACACGCGGACGGAAAGGGGTGGAGTCTATCTGCTTATCGCTGTATGTCTCAATAATACACTATTTTTTTGGCACGTGGATTTTATTGGTGTTGTTTAAGAACCTGTTCCTAATAATTTAAACACGTGTTTCCTCCATCCTAAAGGCTCAGTTTTTACAATGCATTTGACGTTGCAGGAAACATTGGGTGTGTTCTGCCGTTTTTTTTTACTGGTTTTGTGCATTGTTCTCGGAAATTTTTCTTCCATCAAAGTCTGAACTTTTAACGAAGGTTATAGTTTCTGGCCATGACAGCCGAATCCGATAAAAATACATGTGCAGCAATTTTATTCCACTTGTGGTTACGCGAATAAAGCAACTACATTAAATGTGTATTTTTGCGAATTATGTGCATCGAATTTTTTTAATAGACGAATGCACCTATACTTGCTAACTTATACGCATTCTAGGCCCTGTAAACCCCCTCTCTCTCTCTCTCTCTCTCCAATATATCTGGACACATCTTCCTTATTTCTATTCCATTTTTATCTTCGAGGCAATAAGTAGAAGTGGGGAGGAGTCTTCTCATTCTGAACTTTCCTCAGAAATGAACTGAATAATTACATCATAAGCCATAACATTATGTGGAAGATTCGCTTGCAATGAATCGAACCATTTTAACTGGCGGGACGTTCATAATGGAGATTGGAAAGGGTGCGTCTGACTAGAACTGTGTCTTTGGGTGTATTCCCAGAGATCGATCCAGGGATTAAGATTTAGATCGATCTAACTTTCTGGGGGTTCACGCTAAATTGCAGTCAGCCGAGCGCGCACCATAGTTAATTACCCCCTTACAGCTTTCAGTAGGCGGGACAGACGCTAAAGCCGGCTAAGCTGACAGTAATCAAGTGAGACTCCCCACAGGGATAGATCGATCTAAAATCTATGGAAATGGGGTCTTTGTCTCTTTCTCTCGGTGTGCAAACCACCCGTTATCTAATGATTACAGCAATTAAGTAATGGCCTTACTACACTGCAGATCTTACCTAACCTGACTTAAATAACTGACTGTGGCATCACGTTTTGATTTCATGCACGTGAACACTGGATATTTTTCCATAGATAATATGGAGTCTCATATTTGAACTGCTTGCACTTAAACTGTAATAGTAAGAATTGGTCGAAACAACGTTGTACTGAGTGCGTCAAGGTGAAAAATGCTGATTGTCATTTTTGAACCACAACTTTGAAGCGTGTTATCGAGGCAGTGTCAAACCAAGTAAAACCCAAAGAGCCACGATACCAACCCAGAATTGATTTAAGCCTTTTAAATAAGCTATTGAGAGTTGATTCAGGATATTGTCACCAAAACACCTTACTTTATGCCTTAAATACATTATTTTGGGTAATAGATAAATCTCCAATGTTCAGTGACTAAATTAATTGACATTTACACATTTCATCTTACGGGTGACGTCATAACTGTGATTTTTGGGCAAAAACTGAAAAATCGGTTTTTCATAATTCTCCTTTACCTGAGCACCCACGATGACTTTTCTAATGCCAATTTAATGACACTATTTAATACCCCAAATCCCTGCCAGCGATTTTTACTAAATGCCTTAGTTCAAAACTACACAACAAAAGTATCTAAACCAAAATGTCAGTACGGGATTGTAGCACATACATTCGCGGTCAACTCTGCCAATTTTTTGTGATAAAATCTTGTTCAAGTTACGATTACTTTCTCACCTCAGAATAGAAGGGTGTTAAACTGACGACGAAAGCTTTGAGTTGCCTGTGCTGATACATTGCAATAGGAAATATACTTGGGGTAAAAGCCGATCTTTTATATTTTCAAGGAGATTTCTGTTGCTTTAAATCAGCACAAAGATAGATGCATTATTGAATAATTTGATGCAGGGAAATCCTCATTTTCGGTATCTGAATGATAATAAAGGGTTACAATACCCTTAAATAGATAGCTAATCTCTTTACTGTGACCCTGTGGTGAAATCTTAAGGATGATTACATGGCTGGTAATTGTTTGCATAACTACTCAGGCACTGTCACTTACGACGTCTCTGACCTCCACCGGGGCCACAGTTTGATTTTTCACGGGATATTCATAGATAGATAAATAAACAGTCATTTGATTCTTTGCCACCCTGTAATGAAATCTATGATAATTGCATGACTGGTTGTTATTTACATAACTGCTCAGGCACTGCCACTTTACAGGCCCAAGCCAAGTCCCTTTGACAACAACCAAAACGGTTAATTGCTCATCAGTGGCAATAAAAACAGCCCCTTATGTAAAGCATGTTACTTCAGTGTGCTAATGTACTTTAGACCATGTGACTTTTTTCAGCAGACAGACAAGACAAGAAAGGTTGTATAACGAGCGTTAATTATATCAGCGTGAACCCCAGCTCCCACTGAGCTCCTGCATAGCGAGTACAATGCCATCAGCACGCGTGCGGATTTATTGCTTCCATCTGGCCCAAAGTTAGAGGTTCGCCTTAGCAAACATATCCTTAGATTAATTACTGCGGTACTGGTAGGGGGTACCGTCATGTAATAATCATCTCCGAAAACAATTAAGTAATGACCTTTATTCACTGAAGATATTTCATAAGCTGCCTAAAATAAATGACAAAATCACGTTTAGTTATCAAACACGTAAACTCGGAAGATCTTTCCAGATATAATAAGGGGTATCCCAATTGCATTATAAATATATAATAGAAACTTGTCTTTATCCACTGCTCTCTTTTTCCCTTGATATAATTTCAAATATCAGTTTACGATCTTCTTGGTGCGTTCAGAATGTGGACGTGCCATCGGCTGTTTATCGCGTACGTTTGCACCAGTACATCGTAACTATTATCAATAAAAACAATCATTGCCATAACAATGACGTAACCATGACATACCATGATGTTACCATGACATTATCATGATGTAACCATGACATTACCATGATGTTACTTTGACATATACCATGATGTTACCATTACATATACCATGATGTTACCATTATATATATATATCATGATGTTACCATTACATAACATCGACGCAACCGTGATTATATCAATACGAGTCATTTATGACACTACGGACACAATTTTTGGTTTTCAATCAAATTACCAAAGCAAAATGAATTGCTATTCATGTTCTAAGTTTTTGAAAGATGTATTACCTCCTTGATTATCCATTTTTATATAAAACAAGTCTCTGTTTTTTATCTCTGAATGCATGTAAAAGATTTGATAAGATAGATATAAGATAAATAACTGAAGTACTCACGATCTCCGTCCATTGCTTCCATAGCGTCCTTGAGTTCAAAATATGTTGGTCGTTCGCCGAGCGATCTGAGAACTTCTCCCAATTCTTCCGTGGTAATCATCCCATTTCCGTCTTTGTCAAACACATTGAACGCCTCTTCAAATTCTATTAGTGTACAACAGAAAAGATTTGTTTTAATCCAGAAAAATCCCCTTGGATATGTATGTTATGTTTTGCAACACGAATACGACTTTATTGAGCAAAATTTATCGCATGTNCAATAGGAAATATACTTGGGGTAAAAGCCGATCTTTTATATTTTCAAGGAGATTTCTGTTGCTTTAAATCAGCACAAAGATAGATGCATTATTGAATAATTTGATGCAGGGAAATCCTCATTTTCGGTATCTGAATGATAATAAAGGGTTACAATACCCTTAAATAGATAGCTAATATCTTTACTGTGACCCTGTGGTGAAATCTTAAGGATGATTACATGGCTGGTAATTGTTTGCATAACTACTCAGGCACTGTCACTTACGACGTCTCTGACCTCCACCGGGGCCACAGTTTGATTTTTCACGGGATATTCATAGATAGATAAATAAACAGTCATTTGATTCTTTGCCACCCTGTAATGAAATCTATGATAATTGCATGACTGGTTGTTATTTACATAACTGCTCAGGCACTGCCACTTTACAGGCCCAAGCCAAGTCCCTTTGACAACAACCAAAACGGTTAATTGCTCATCAGTGGCAATAAAAACAGCCCCTTATGTAAAGCATGTTACTTCAGTGTGCTAATGTACTTTAGACCATGTGACTTTTTTCAGCAGACAGACAAGACAAGAAAGGTTGTATAACGAGCGTTAATTATATCAGCGTGAACCCCAGCTCCCACTGAGCTCCTGCATAGCGAGTACAATGCCATCAGCACGCGTGCGGATTTATTGCTTCCATCTGGCCCAAAGTTAGAGGTTCGCCTTAGCAAACATATCCTTAGATTAATTACTGCGGTACTGGTAGGGGGTACCGTCATGTAATAATCATCTCCGAAAACAATTAAGTAATGACCTTTATTCACTGAAGATATTTCATAAGCTGCCTAAAATAAATGACAAAATCACGTTTAGTTATCAAACACGTAAACTCGGAAGATCTTTCCAGATATAATAAGGGGTATCCCAATTGCATTATAAATATATAATAGAAACTTGTCTTTATCCACTGCTCTCTTTTTCCCTTGATATAATTTCAAATATCAGTTTACGATCTTCTTGGTGCGTTCAGAATGTGGACGTGCCATCGGCTGTTTATCGCGTACGTTTGCACCAGTACATCGTAACTATTATCAATAAAAACAATCATTGCCATAACAATGACGTAACCATGACATACCATGATGTTACCATGACATTATCATGATGTAACCATGACATTACCATGATGTTACTTTGACATATACCATGATGTTACCATTACATATACCATGATGTTACCATTATATATATATATCATGATGTTACCATTACATAACATCGACGCAACCGTGATTATATCAATACGAGTCATTTATGACACTACGGACACAATTTTTGGTTTTCAATCAAATTACCAAAGCAAAATGAATTGCTATTCATGTTCTAAGTTTTTGAAAGATGTATTACCTCCTTGATTATCCATTTTTATATAAAACAAGTCTCTGTTTTTTATCTCTGAATGCATGTAAAAGATTTGATAAGATAGATATAAGATAAATAACTGAAGTACTCACGATCTCCGTCCATTGCTTCCATAGCGTCCTTGAGTTCAAAATATGTTGGTCGTTCGCCGAGCGATCTGAGAACTTCTCCCAATTCTTCCGTGGTAATCATCCCATTTCCGTCTTTGTCAAACACATTGAACGCCTCTTCAAATTCTATTAGTGTACAACAGAAAAGATTTGTTTTAATCCAGAAAAATCCCCTTGGATATGTATGTTATGTTTTGCAACACGAATACGACTTTATTGAGCAAAATTTATCGCATGTTTATATCATTAGTGTCTTTTGAATGCACTATCCAAAAACTTGAATAGTGATGAACATCTATATATGTGTATAAATTCAGTAGAATGGGTTTCGTTCTTTGAAATCAGTCGTGACATTTGTATCAATAATTCGAAAAAATGTCAATTTAGTTTGATGTTTTAAGATAAAATCCTAGCACTGGGAAGACCCAAGAGGCTTCAAAGGCAGGATTATGGAACGTTTTCTGTCAGTTTTCATTAAATCTCCATATAACTGTACTTTACTGGTAACAAGTGCTAAAAGATTACACACTCTGTATTTTAACCATTGTTGTGATCAGGTTTATCTTTTATTTTGAAAGGCGTTTTGGAGACAAATAACACATGAATGCATTATTGAGGTGGTCATTACTGTACATACACGTTAGATGTACGTCTTGCTGCGGTCGTATTTAGCTTCTTTTAACAATTGAGAAGAGATTGAGTCTATGAATGATATTATTTTGTCTCTTGCTGGCATCCGTTTCTTCTCCGTCAAAGAAAACTGAAAACTGTTTACACTGTTTTGAGCCTGAACAGAGAATAGGTACGATGACGTGCCTCTTTAGTCTTTTCTAGAAGAATGGAAGATAAATTTGGCCGAACATGTTATATATAATAACAAAAGTTGACTTTCTGCACAGTATTTACATAAATTTTAAAATCTCTTAAAATCAAAATTGTAAATAATAAGTTATCTTTAACCCAAGCGGCGAAATAAAAAAACTCAGCTTTTTTGGGGGGAAATTACCTACTGGAAAAAACTCACATTTAATTGATACTTTTGTAAAAAAAAAAAAAAGAACAAACTCAAACTCAAACTCGATGAATTATTTTTATGGAAAGATATGAGAAAGCTCGTTAGGTTTGAGGACGTGAAATGATAAAATATGGCTGAAAAAGCCAACTTTCATATTGAGGCACTTCTCCAAGAAGGCAGCCTGAGAAGGCTATCCAATGTAGAGCTTTCAGAATCAAATTAGGTCAAGGTCGAGGTCGACTAGGTCAACGTTGGCTTTACGAACAACAACTCTAGAAGAAACAACTGTGCAACAGATTAGAGCATTGGATTTCATTGCTTTTAGCTACCATGGAAACATGCACTGGTTTATGACAAGAGAATTCTGTTCAAAAGAGATATTGTTCTTGTCTTAATCAAAAATGGAATCTTTGAAAACTTATTTTCTGCAATTATAGCATGTTGGATGTCAATCATACATGTCAGACCTCGTCTTTCTCAACTATAAGAAAAAAGACTTTTGAAGGAATACAACTGGAAACCGTTGGTCGGATGTTTACAACGTTTTCTCAAAAACAAAAGAGAAAAGATAAAAAAAACTAGAAAAGCACTCAGAGAGCGCAGACCTCCGCGAAGGCAGCAAAGCCTCCATCCAATGCCGTTTCACCCCTAAATTTTCGATATTTTTGATTTTTGATTATTGATTGACAATTGATCCGGATCATCGCCAAAAACTAATCACTTCTAAGTTAACCCATTTCTGACCTACCCTGAAAATTCCATCGAAATTCATCCCTAACTTCTCGAGTTATGTTGATGACAAACAAAAAAACAAACAAACAAACAAACAAACAAACAGGGGTGAAAGCATAACCTCCTTGGTGGAGGTAATAAGAAACTTAGAAAGGATAAGAATAAAGTGAATAAGAAAAAAAAAAAAGAGAGGCAAAGGCAAAGAGTGCCAAATACCCCATCTGTGACACGGCTGTTTATATATATATATATATATATAGAGAGAGAGAGAGAGAGAGAGAGAGAGAGAGAGAGAGTATCAGAAAAACAGTACAGTGTATCCTTGCAGGCTGCAGGTATGTCGGCTCTAACCTTTGATTTTGTCTGTGGTGAAGCCGTAGTCAGATTTGGCTACCACCGGCATACTTTGTCGTCTTGTAGTCTGAAAAAAAAATAAAATAATAATAATAATAATAATAATAATAATAATAATAATAATAATAATAATAATAACGTTAATTTAGCTAATATTTACGTACAAAATATTTATCAGAAATTTGAATACCGACAAAGCTTTAAAAAGTAATTAAGATAATAATGATAAAATAGAATCCTGAATTTTATGATGAGAAATTACATATATATAATAAAATCAACCAATTCCTTGAATGACAAAGATCACATTTCATTCAAGGGTGTCGATCTTAATTGTTTGAAATATAATAAGAATTTTGTTTAAATATTTTGATGCACATACAGTTTAAGTTTCACAAAATTATATTTCAAAACGTGGATACATATTTTAAGGCACCTTAAAGCCAGATTTAAATACTATAAGATGCGATTATGGTATTAATCGATTATATTTCCAAACGGTTTGAAGGCGACATGAAGGCAAATATTTTAATGACTAAATGGCCTCCAAACAGAAAAAGCTGAAGCAAGCAGGACAAACTTTACAACATTTGACACTGTATTTAAGAAAAAAGAGCACACAGGCAGACGGTCGTAGACTGTGTTCCCATAAACCTATCGCACTAGCAGGATCGATCTAAGGGGAGGGGATTCTTGCTAAATTGCATTCAGTTTAAGAGGCTTAAATGTCTGTCCCACCCACTGAAGCTGCTAGGGGGTAATTAACTTTTTTCGCCCTTAAACTAAATGCAATTTAGCGAGAAACCCCTAGGACATAGACCGAGCTTGTTAGTACCATGGGGTATGGGAATGGTCCCTTATATTTGCTTCAGATTACGATGACGGTTCCAATAACCACTAAAATGTGACTGATGCCACGGGGTCTACACATTTTCAACAACAATTGTTTAAAATTAATTTACAACGAGTGCAAGACACTGAACCAAGCCTTAAGATAAAAAAACTAACAAAAATATCAGTAACATTTATACGACACCAAAATAAGAGGCCTATGGCTAATGCCGCCGCAAGCATTCTATTTTCCAAATTGTGCTCTTTCCTGTGATGTTATCCAACCTGTTTTTGTTTTTCTTTCTATAGTAGCGAAAATGGTCTAGCTCGTTTCCATTTCCCCTTACTCTAGTTTCATCATGCTTCCAGGGTACATTCTGCTTTAAGTCACGAAAAATCATTTTATAAGTATATAGGTTCATTTTACGTGGCAGCGTCAGGCATTGTTATTTTCATTCCTGCCGTAGTAACAGCAACGCGTTTGATTAAATAGATTTCACAACTGATTTCGAATCATTGTATCTTGAAAATTAAAAAAATTGGCGTTCTTTGGACTTCTGTTCCCTGGGCAATTTTGGCCTTTGTTTGTGCTCAGCAGCAATGATTTTATCCAGGGGTGGATGGTATACTGAAAAGGCATAACAATACGTTTGCATATTGCCAATAGAAATTGAAGTTTAATTGAAATATGTCTGAGTCAACTGTTATTTCAGAAATTGAGTAATAGGTTTTATTTTGTGTTTTTTGCAACATTTAGACGCAAATGAAGTTCCTGGAGAAGGATGCTCTTATAATTTTATGACGGCATGCCCTTTACTTAGTTTTCCTTTCATAGGAAATTGGTGTCTACTTCAAATAGTATAATTACGATCCTTCAAAGGAGAAATATTCTAACAAGTGAAAGGAAATAATACTAATAATAAAAATGCTAGAGTCCATACACGGCTGAGACCATTCCATACGCTACTGCAATTCTTGATATTGAATCATGGGTGTTATAGCCCAAATATAAGAAGAAATGTGATTTTAATGGAAGTAGTCGCACTAACATTAAGAGGTGACACCGTGATGTTGCTATTGATTACATGTAAGAAATTGTCTGTAGGGACCGCACGGGATGACCACCTTAGAGCGACGCAGCGAGTATGAAAAGTAGACTGAAACGTCTGTCAAAGGCAATCGCGTGCTTTACTGAACGCCAAAACACTAATATTAAAAGCTTTACTTGGAAAATGCTTTTACTGCAAGTAACGTTTTTCCTGAAGACAATCTATTTTCGGCTGTTCAAAAGTAGTTTCTAATAACACATCCTTAAAGTCAATAACCTTAAATGTCGGGTTATTTTTACTTACGTCTACCACATAATGCTTTCAAAAACAACATAAAGTGGTGCATTTGTATCCTTGGATGTAATAAAGAATATATTGTAATATTGTATCCCGAACCTTTGAAAACACCACACAATTCAAAATGGCTTTACATTGCCTATTGTGTCTTTATCTCTAACAGCCAAAACTGAGGGTGGCAACGTCAATTGCATAAAGTCCACTATCTCATCTCTCTTCCATTACATGTAATATGCTAAATATGATATTGGAACAATTGTAACTTTACCGAACCAGAAGCAGCTACGTCAAAAGCACAGGAAAAGATGATGATTAAAAACGTAAACTGACGTAAAGATACTGAGATAAATAACAGTGAGGTGACTGCCATAAAAGTAAATGACCTGTGTAACAGGGATGGAGGTCCGCTAGGATCCGTAGTCCGTTTACCATTACTTTGTACAGGTGACATTCCTCCCATATACTAACCCTAATACTCCAACTAACCCTAACCTGTACTTATCATATGGGAGCCCGGACGTCCATTCCTAAAACTCCCATTCTTGTTACACCTGGATTAGTTGTTTGTGACAGTTTTTCAAGTGCCTTTAAGTCCCAGGTCTTACCGAAATATTCACGCACACCATACCCGGAGATATACATACATATATATACACAAAGATAATCACTTGTATTTGACTAAGGCCGCATTCAAAACAGTGGACTAACTAGTCCCCGGGTCAGATACGGCGACCCCCTAAAAAAAGGTTGCCGTCCAATCCGCTAAGAGACACTGAATAGATTCCCTGTGGGGAAGTACAGGTATTCAAGTGGGTCGGCCATATTTGATCCGCGGACTAGTTAGTTCACTGTTCTGAATGCGGTCTATGCTTTTGGTGCTTGCACATACTTGGTACGTGTGAATCGCATTGATAAGCACACAAAAACATGGACAGGTTTATGATCACACATACAAAAGCACGAACAATACAATCCACCAAGTAGAAACTGCTGACTCCGTGTTATGCATCAAGCCAAGCAGTGTCTCGCAGGTTAACTATAATCCCACCGTTGGAGTCAATATACATTACTTCTATTAACATTTTCCTTTGCTTCAAAATGGTAGCCCCCGAAAAGAGCATATACAACATTGGTCAAAAAGGTTGTCCCTCCCCTATTTCCATGTACTTTTATTAACAAATGATCACCTCACAGCAATAAATTGTCAGGAATAGTGCTTTTTATTACTGATACCGTGTCTAACATGATAAATGGTTAAAAAATACAAAATAGTGTTGAAAATATACACATTTTATACCATTTATTAAAATTTTAAAGATGTACCCCCTCAAATCCACTGTTTCACTGTGACTTCTACAGAGGTAAAGAAATGTCTATTAAATTGAAAAGATGCCATCAAATGTCACCAAATTCATACACAATTAGCATTATGGTGTGCTCGTTGAAGGTAACGTGCCTAACAGCGTGTGCGTTTACCGTGTACTGCAATTTTAAAAATTTTAATAAATGGTATAAAATGTGTATATTTTCAACACTATTTTGTATCTTTGTAACCCTTAATCATGTTAGACACGGTCTGTAATAAAAAAAAAGCACTATTTCTAACAATTTACAGCTGTGAAGTGATCATTTGTAAATAAAAGTACATGGAAATAGGGGAGGGACAACCTTTTTGACCAATGTTGTATTTGGATTTTAATTGGCAAACTCCCACAGTGTGAATGAAATGTACTTTGCATCTGTTGTCAAATAAAGACATCCTGTATCTTGTACCAGTGACATTCAAGGTTCATGTAAACGCCAACGCATACATGGAAAGGACAGGTCAGAGAAATGTGCAGGTGCTAAGCTTGTTTTGAAAGTATAATTAGACTTTTGAAGGCTTTTATTTAGCCTATTTCAACGTTCTTGGCAATGTTTTCTTGACTTATAGCATGTCTTACCGAAATATTCTGAAATAAAGCCTATTAAAATTCCGTTTTTATGTATGGAAGCCATGATCTAAAGCAAAACTGGCCTTTACAGCAAACGGTTAATATAAAAAAGAAAAAGAAAAACTCCTGTCCGAAATGAAGCAGACGATGCGAGCAGTTGTCTACGCTTATAACCATGCAGAGTTCGCGTGATGAATACAACTTGTTGTGCAGATATGACGAGACGATAAAAAGACTACAGGTTGATTATTTATGCCAAGGTTGATCTGAAAAAAAAAAAAACTCTCCTTTTCTTCTCAACTAATTCCTGTAAGACATTCTTCGCTGTACATTCCTATATAACCGTCTAAATCAGTGACCCCCGCATTTACCTAACGGTATATTTATTTGTTTGCCAAAGGCAGGCGTTCTACAATTTTGATATTATTAACTGACCCTCCGGGAACAGTGTCAAAGAAATTTCAAACTAATCAGTCGTGTTCTAGAGCACTTGTTATTTTGCAAAAGAAGGCTGCGGAGACCTATTTGACACTTGTTTATTATGCCGTTTCTCTTCATTCAACGGTACGACAAAATTGATCTCTTCTGGCGTAGGTGGTTCGCTTTGTATGTCAGGTACTGTTTCTTGACTTAGAAGTGATTAGTGTCAATCTTGAAACACTCCATTTATATCAACTATATTTGTCATTCGTCTTCCAACAGCTTAATCACGGTCGAAACAAGAGAAGGGGTNTAGGCGTTCTACAATTTCGATATTAATAACTGACCCTCTGAGAACCGTGTCAAAGAAATTACAAACTAATCAGTCGTATGTTCTAGAGCATTTGTTATTTTGAAAAAGAAGGCTGCGGAGACCTCTTTGACATTTGTTTATTATGCCGTGTCTCTTCATTCAACGATACGACAAAATTGATCGCTTCAGGCGTAGGTGGTTCGCTTTGTATGTCAGGTACTGTTTCTTGACTTAGAAGTGATCAGTGTCAATCTTGAAACACTCCATTTATATCAACTATATTTGTCATTCGTCTTCCAACAGTTTAATCACGGTCGAAACAAGAGAAGGGGTTATTTGTCTGCCTGGAACGTGTCTTGTAATCGGTTTCTATTACATGAGCTAAATATATCTGCCTTGAATCAATCAAGCAGGGCTGAAATAAGAAACAGGAGATTTAATTGCAAGTTAACCATAAAGCTCTACAAAACTGCAATGAGTGTCTACTTAAGGTCGGTTAGTAAAAAATGTACAATGATAAACTCATATTGACCTTGATAATATAAAATAATAATTGATAATATAAGAGTGAATCTGTTGGATCTAACTTGTTGCTTTGACGTACGTAACTGATTTCGGTACGTTCTGATTTGTTCATTATCGGCTTTGATAATGCAGAATAAACATCGTCATGGTATGACATCATGCTGATGCACCAAAAATAAATAAATAAATAAGCTAGGGCAATTTTTCTAAGACGAATTGATAGCACGACAGCAGCTGTTTGGGATGAACATTGTAATATTGACACAGACGGATATTCCTCACCTGAACAGCCTTCAACGCCGTCTTAACACCTATCGAATAACAACAACGTGTACTACAATCTGGTATCAGGGAATATTCTTGAAAGGCTTACTGCCGACTTCATCGGTTAAGAGGCTATAAAATGTCTTAATTTGTTTAAGGGGACATCGCCATTATGAGCTTATATCTAAAAAACGAATATATGTAGACTAATATTTTTAAAAGCCCAAACGTAGGCACTAGGTTGTATTTTTTACCCTTGTCGTTGACCATGATTTAGATAATTTTCATGATAATATATATTACTAAGTTACAGAGTTACGTCGGAAACAGGTCCTTATCAACATTGACAATATTAATTAAAACGCCATACTCTGTGCAGATCGAAGTATGTGTGGAGGTGAATAAAGCAAAAGAAAAGGTCATTTAAGCTTTAAATGTGTTTACTTTTATTGCACTGATACTGAGATCAGAAACGGAGAGAGCCATTTTTTACCAAATGTAGGCTTTATGACGTGTCGAACCTCCTTCAAGAACCAATCAAACCAGCCCATTCCACCAAGATAACTGCCGATCGATATATTGCCAACGTTTCAACCAATTGTTAGCAGATTTCAAGAAACTATGAATGTATTTGTGTAAATACATGTGTGTTTTTAAGTCCATCTTGACTGTTTGGTTAATAATTATGTGAAAGAGAGAGAAGTTGCCTTGTTTTACATTTTGCATTTCTGAGTCCAATTCACAGTAGATAGAGGGTAGGGAATACCTTCTGCGTTCCACGTAATTGTCCTTATTTTTCGAGCGTGATGCGTTATTTGGGCCCAATATTCTGTGTGAAACATGATTCAGGAATTCTTGATAATTAGTGATTGGCCTGAATATATCTTGGTGATTGGTGTTTGAGCTGTTTTAATCTTGGTTGGGGGGGGGGGGGGAATTCCCAACCCTCTAGATAGGACATCTGTCTGTATAATAACACGGAATATCGTGGAGCTGTTGAGACAGTTTCAGATATCACAGTTAAGGGTGTCGAGGTTTAGACTATTCCAGTCCGTGCATATAACAAATTTACATGTTGTCAAAGAAGGCAATTTAGCATTCTACCTAAAACAAATACCATCAGCAACAGATAAAGACAGGAGCAAAGACGATCCATGAATCATTACACGAAAAGAGCTCAGTAATAAGGGACTCACTATTCCTTTCTGTATTCTACTTCAATAATTAGGAGTTCCGTCAAAAGGGAACACGGCTGATTTCTTACTGTAAAATGAACACATCCCCAGTTGCAAGTGTATCAGAAATCTGATTAATGTTGATGAGATAAGAAAAGGTCAAAAAGAAGGTCAACGACGTCTCTCCTGTTCAATTAGAAAGATTCCTAACTGAATTACATTCTCTCTTGTGCAATTGAAATACAGTATATTGCCATTGAACATAAACAAGTTGGGAATTGAGAGCCTTCGCATCCGTGTTGGCTTACGAATAAAACCACATCAAATAATATGGAAATTTCATAAGTTTACAGTCTATAAAAGATCATTTATGTCATCCTGCCAGAGTTCTGCAACTACCATGAGACGGGGCAAACGCTCACTTGGTCTGGAATCCCCCGGATCTGTGTCACGGCTAAGGGGTCATTCCCAATGGAACTTTCGGTCTACGTAGTTTGATCCAACTACGTTGGGAAGCTCGATTACTTCGATCAGATTAAGAGATTAACACGCCTCCTCCTAGAGATGGTTTAAGTACAGAAATGCTGGTGATTGTACGAGAACGTTGGAAACGAAAGGAGACTTGTTTTAGATTCAAATCATTTAATTTGATTGCATTCAGATATAGCCCAGCGGAATTGGATCGTTCTACGTAGACTGATAGTTTCATTGGAAATGAGTCCATAGGCTAGTCCAAGGGGGGATGCCGTTGGCCCTTAAATCGGGTAAGGTTTTTGCAAGCCTGGCTACAGCGTTGCCAACAAACAGAGCGGTACGTGGATTTGTTTGCCTGATGCAATAACCTTTTATTGGGCTGTTTTTGCATAGCATATGCACTGTATGTGCACTGTGCTTTGTGTTTTATTTTATTTCATTTATTTATTTTTATTATTTATCTATTTATTTATTTGTATTTTATCTGTAAACAATTGTCTACGTTTTTGGTAGATTAAATTCACTTCCAATTACTCTAAGAAAACGTCTACAAGTTCCGATAATTTGCTCGATTTAATTAATATGGCTTCATATCCATAAGTATTATGCTTCATCCTTGATAAATGCGAACAATTCGTTTAAGGTATCGTAGCTACAAATCTCTGCATATGGTGCCTGTATACAAGTAAAGAGATGGATGAAGAGCTTGACCCGTTTACTTTTCAATACCGATAAAATATAGAGAGTGATCTTAAACGGCGACTGGCTTAATCTTTCTGCAATGCACCTAACCAGCCCTAACAATTAAGCACTAAAGAATCGAGATTGCGCCACTCTCTGCTGTAATGAAGGATGTCAGACACTGGGCGAAGAAAATAATAACCATTTCATCCCAGACCGTACCGTAATCAGCATTTATTTGACAACAAAATGCTGTTCTGGAAATTAGATTTAGCCGAAAGCGTGGGCAATATGTAGACCGCATAGACAAGCATTATCTGCGGGAATTAATTGTTCTGATTACAAAACAAAATAGGAAGCCTTATTTTAGAGTCGTAATTGAATCAAGGCCATTTTTATCTTACAATGACGTGCTTACACCAACGCATTGTCACACGTGTATTTATATACCGAACTAATGAACAATTAAGCGTATTGTAAACTCACAGCATTCGTTACTGAGAAAGATGTTCCCTGACATTATGTAAATGTGCACTACTTATAAGCTGAGACTGCTCAGTATATGCATCGGTACTAAAAAAACATACTGTTGTAATAGGCATTGGAAAAACCTATAGACGTGGCCCTATCCCTTCGCACCTGTTGTTATGTATCATTCTTTTATTTGGTGCGATTAATATGCAGGTCACGTTGCTCTATGTAACTGTTTATTAATCCTCCAACGCGTCCAAAAATTCATGTATGATAGACTAAGTTAATTGCTGTTGTCCCAATGTGTCGCTGCAAATTGATAATCGAATGAAACAATATAACTCACGCAAAAGCCACTTTTCAGCAACAGAATGCAAGAATATTCTTACTGATTGTGCTTTGGAAATGTTGCTCAAAGTCGAGGTTCTCGTATTGCGTGTTCTATATAACTATCTACATGACACTGAAACTAATTTAAGCCCCCCTTTACACTGGACGGCGTTCTTTCTGCGTCCTTTTTGCGGCCATGAAACTGGCATCGCTATATGGTCGTAGTAAGGAGGCACAAGAATCGCTTTGGTTGCAGAATGAAAGCCCATTGACTTGCCAGTTGTCGGCAAGTAATGTATTATTATTATTTAATCTAAAACTGGGCCGTACTACGGGACGCAGAGAGGACGCCGTCCAGTGTAAAGGGGGCTTAATTAAGGCATTCACTGCAATAAAGATCTAGGGGTAGGCCCATGCCACTCCCTTGTGAAGGGTTCGGCTAAATACATAGCTGTGTTCTTGATTTGAATACCTTTTAGAAATTAAGATTTAAAAAAAAAACTCAAGGAGGTAATACATTAAACTTGCACATGTCTGGCCGAGGGCTGGGTAACCCATGTTGTCATGGTAACCAATGCTATCATCTATGATTCAGATAATAGTTTCTCTTGGACGGTTCCTTCCTCGCGTACGGATAATAAAGCCCATGCCAAGATAATCAATACTTCTTAGTTGTACCATCCATGTTCAGGGCCGGGTGGATGTGTAGGAGGGAGGTGGGAAGGAACGTGCATAGTTGGGTGCTTAATTAGCCAGGTCAGGATAGGGCAGCATCAGGGCGGTCACCGTTCATTTTCTTATTTTTATCTTTCTTCTAAAACTCCCGATTTCCTGCTAAACCAACTATGCCCTAGACTTACCATTTTGTCTCGGTCGCTGTGGGTTGTAGACGTGCCTTGTACCGGATACGTGGCAGCCGGGAACGCTTCCTATTCCAACCGCCTCCTGCAACCTATTTTTTTTTGTCTTCGCCTGGCCTGGTCGGATGACAATGTATTCCTGATCCTGTTTCTTTTTTTCGTTTTTTTTTCCTGAAGGCTTTTCTCAGAGCTCACAGTGTCTTGGCCTTCAACGCCTTAGAACTTCTATTGGGATTTCAATCCGTTTTACTTGAATCCTTTCCTAAATACCAATCTGTTTTTTGATGAATAACTTCTAAGTTTTTATTGTTTTTGTATTTTTTCCTTTTCTAATCCTTTCCCTGCCAATCTGTTTCGCATATAACTCGCTTGGTATTATTCCACTGAAATAACTTGCGTTATCTTAAGCCGTTTCTCCAGATGATGGTATTAAGTAGAACGACCTCTCATTACAAACACACGGTAGCCAATATCATAACTAAACCTCCCTGAAATCTTGTAAGGTATTTGCTGGCTTTTAGCGCCAGGTGCTCTGACATAGCTTTGCCACAAACAGCGGGACGGATAGATATATATATATTCATATACAAAAAGTACTTAACACATGTTATTTGCATCGGTTACCATAGACATTCTCTGTAATAAATACCTAGCGTTTGATGAAAGATACCATTGCTTGTCTGTTTCTGGGATACCTCAGAAAAAAAGGTCTGCGGTGAAATGCCGGCTGAGAAAGTAAATATACCTTGTAACGAAAAGATCAAGACGATAGAGCGGAGAGAAGGTGCTTCATGTGAGTTATTTGGTTACCTTTGGCCCAAATCATTTATGATAAACCCAACTTAATTCCTTGCCTCCATAAATCAAGGGATGCCGGGGTGAAGATATGTATATATTTGCATTAAATCCATGTACCTGTTTAAGGAAGGGGGGGTACGTGTACCCAAATAGGGCTAAAAAAATCACGTTTTTATAGATTAAATCAACAGTAAGTCTTCAAAGAAAAATCCCCGAACCCCTTTGTTGAACTTTGTTCAAGTGTTATAATACCATTAAAAGCATGTTTATAGCTGTCCAGGTGCCTGAGAAACTCAATTCAGGAAACCAAAAAATGATTTTTGCCCCAAAAATCCCACAATTACGTCACTTGATGAACTTGGAGCTGTGTTTCAAGCATAATTAGATGTTTTGAAGATACCTTAAATGAATGCAACAGGAATTAAAAAAGCCAAGACCTTTAATTTAGGATAAGATCTCCAACCTGCAGTCCGACCTTAAAAGATCGAAGCATCCACCTGTGTGCTATTAACACGGTGCTATATCAGATACATATGTAGACTGTACTTAGAGATCACAGCCAGGTGGTGTTTGAACGGATTAGGCACGTTAAATATAGTAACAGAGAGGCAAGTCGGTCTCGTGTTCTGTGTAACCCCTATGTTGATTTTTTTTTTATTTGGAGTTCCATTTACCTCTTTTCAAATTACAGGCTGGAAGTCACGGGGATGGAACCCGAAAAATGAACGTTTTTCGGCGATTTGGGAAATAAATGAGACTTGAAACACAAAAATATCTGTTTGGTTTTATAAAAATAATAATCATCATTTTAAAATATGGCTCAGTGCACATGTCATTGGAATCCACGGGCCCAGGCTTCCTAGATAAAGACGCGAGTAATAAGTGGGGAGGGGGGAGCGAAAGACTGCCATAGCTTTTGCTGATAATGTTTTGTCCCCCTCCCCCCACCCCCCCCCCCCCCAACACACACCCGTCCCCACCCCACTCGTGCATAAGAACGTGATTCTATATGGATATGTTCAATGTTCATGTGGAATACAGACTAGACCACCCTGAGCTTCAGAGATAACTTGACACCTACCTCTTCACTATAGCCTATCTTCATCGTGTAACTTGACACGATGAAGATAGGCTATAGTGAAGAAGTAGGTGTCAAGTTATCTCTGAAGCTCAGGGTGGACTAGACTGACATACGGCTAGATACTACACATGCCCATACACCGGGGAGATTGGTTAACTTGGCATGGCTTAGAATAATTTAATTCCCGCAAATTATGCGATTCTGCAGACCTTTAATTGTGCTTGATTGGAGAAATTGGATTTTGGTTTCTATGTGCAGTGGTTCTTTTACGTCAATCCTGTATGTATGATGTGCGTGTGTGTGTGTGTGTATGTGTGTGTGTGTGTGTGTGTGCGTGCGTGTGCCTGTGTATGTGTATGTGTGAGTTGAGTGCACGCATGCATATGTGTGTGTCTGTGCGTGTGTGAATAAGAAGACCTCACGATCAAAAAAAAGATCAAACTCTTCACATATCTAGCCATATCTTTTTTTTTTTCATTTTGGCATACTGTCAAATTAAATTCCACCATTAATATGTGTGTCTATGCATTAAGGTTCTCACCACTGTTGTTAAATTGCGGTAAAGCGTTACAGGCACATTTCCTTTCATTCCGTGACATAAAATTCGGTTTCTCATATTGGCACAGGTGATCATGAAATGTCATTAAAGCCCCGGAATAAGTTGTGGTCACAAATTTTAATAAGTTCATCTAGATCTGTCATTTTCTGCACGACAGTGTATTATTTCCACTCCATGTCTACGCCTCAGGAAATGCGTTCGTCATAATCAACCAGTGCACAAACTGCCAAATTTTATCTCTCCCATCTATAGTGGTTTCAGTCTTGTAACAGTTAGGGTTTTTTCTTGTCAGTCAAATCAGAATAAAAAAATATGTGCAACTTGGCAACAATGTAGTTTTTAACCGAGTCTTGGTTAGTTTTGGCACAGTTGAGATGATTCCAAGTTTATCTGTTATGTCACGTATGCCTTTAGTACTCTATCAGAGTCAGATAATCTTCAGGAATTCGATAGCTATTCTCATTTTAACCATTTCTCGGACTAGTTTTAACATTATAGTTGAGTCTATGTTTATCTGTTATGCAACGTATGCCTTTAATACTCTATCAGAATCAGATAATCTTGTCAGTTTTAACATTTTAGTTGAGTCTGTGTTTATCTGTTATGCCACGTATGCCTTAAGTGCTCTACCTCAGTCAGATAATCTTGCCAGGAATTCGATAGATATTTTCATTTGACATATCTTAGTTGTTTCTTTGTTTGAGAGATCATTCCCAGAGAATAGGTAGTAACTTTGGATCGATCTATCTCCAAGGGGGTTCTCACTACATGTCGAGCGCCCACTGAAGCTGTTAGGGGGTAGTTAACTTAGAACTATCGTTTAGCAGTTTCAGTAAGCGTGCCACACATATGAGCCGTTTACCCTTAAAGCAATTTAGCGAGAAACCCCTTGGAGATAGTTCGATCCAGTTAGATCGATCTAGGCATGGAAACCCAGTCTAACTGCTGTGACACATATTCCTTTGATGTTTTATCTGAGTCGGAACCATTTTCCCATGAATGTGTTAGATGTTCTCCCTGTAGGGCAATTGCACATTTTGTTTCCATTCTAAATCTTCTCTCAAAAGTGATAGCTCTTATTTAAAAAGATTAAATCAGTTCTGGTTTGGTATCGTGGCTCTTTGGGTTTTACATGGTTTGATACTGCTTCGCTGACACGCTTCAAAGTTGTGGTTCAAAAATGACAATCAGCATTTTTCACTCTGGTGCACTGAGTACAACATGTTTTCGTCCAATTTTTTATTATTATAGAAGGATACAAAACATCCAGTATATACAAAACATCCAATATATTATTATTTTTCATAGTTAATATTTCATGTATCTTACATTTCTCACTATGGTTATTGTAAATAGAGAGTTTTATATTTGGCACGCCAGCAATGAGATAATTCTGAACATCATTCGTCTTGCATTTTGTCAAGATAAAAAGGAGCCACGTGCAGATGGTCACTGTGCTTCATTTGCGTGGGGTTTAACCTGTTTGGATAAAATATGAGATGCTCTACTTTTCGATGCGACTACGTGCAAAAGTAATCACCGATAAATCCTTAAATGTCAATTAATTCCATCTTAGCTGATAGTGTAAGGCAGCACAGGAAATGTGTGGGGTTTTAGCTGTATATCAGGCATATATTGCAATCATGCGAACCACACCACCTGCTGTGCATTAAGAAGACATGGTCTAAATTCTGCATCGAAATAAAGCAATATTTGTCACAGGTTACCAATATATTACTTCAAATATGAGATGTTACAACAGATTTATTAGTGCGACATACTCGTTAAAAAAACTTGAAAATGGAGCTCACTACTCGGTCCTATAATGACGATAAAGGGTGACGTGATGACGTGCGATTGCAATGTATGTTATTTCCTACGGGACGTACAGAATTAAAGAAATTTAATTGAAAAACGCAGTTCAATACTCTGATAAGTCCAAATGAATAAGGTGAAATTCATATTGGCTATTAAAGGGAAAACATCGAAAGACACGATCAAAATCGGCCAAATGGAGCAAGTCAAGTTATTATTTTTATCATTATTATTTATTTTATGTAATCAGCTGATTCTATGAAAGAAGGTTATGTTTAAAGTCAAAACTCATTTTCCACAAGAAGAATTGATCAGACACGTGCGTTATTTGCCACATGTTGTGAGGATTTCCGCGTGTTTTGCGCATTATTTCAACGTTTTTGGTCACCTTCCGTGCTAGTTACACGCATCCTGTCGCTGACTGTGTGGGTGGCTGTGTTGTTTTGAATCGTGCAACATGTGACGTTAGGTGCCCATGTGCGTGCTTGCAGTATTTGGGTGATTAACCCGTTTTTGTGAGAACGCGATCTCGTTTTTGTGTCAGGAAATGATATTGGTATTTGAAACTGTCTTCACTGTGCTTAGTTGACGAACCTGCGTCATAACTTTCATAGCAATCTTGTATGTATTGGTGCATAAGGTAAATGTATATGCGTGTAAATTACATATGCATGTGTTCACGCAAACACGTGTGTTTGAACGTATGTGTGTGCATGTGCATGTTTTTGACACACACACACACACGCACAGAGAGAGAGAGAGAGAGAGAGAGAGAGAGAGAGAAGGAGAGAGAGAAAGATGGAGGGAGGGAGGGGTGAGGATGTCGTACATAAG